CACCGCATGAAGTTCTGTCCGGTTGTTTCGGGGCGTCCAGCCACACACCATTTGCCTCAACAGGGAAATCCATGTTTCGCATGGTTTTGTCGTGCCAGTCTCGCAAAAACGTAGCTACAGTTGACAGATAAATATCCTCCATTGTAGATCGATAGTCCTTACTGCACAACGGGCCGTAGTTGTATGGCGCGATGCAAGGCAGTTCTTGCTTATAAGCAAATCTAGTGAAGATGATTCCTCAGTAAAAGCCACTCAGATGAACGGGTAGAACAACATAGTGAAATGTCGATATCCGTGTCTTTGGTGGTTTGGGGCATCCCATAGGTGGTGCAAACGAACTCATAGCGTAGCAGCCATCCAGCGTACTGCTGATGTCGCGAATGCAGAAATCAATGATGAGGTCGTTCAGCATTCTATCCCGAACCAAACTCCCCATCATATTATTCTCCTTGATCGAACATCCACCACTAGTTAGTCTGAATTCAGAGGCCAGACAGGTACTGCGTAGAATATTTGTAGTGTCCTTGGCCAGTTCTTCGTATTTTGCCCCCACCTCCGAAGGAAGCAACTGATCTGAGTCTGTCTCTTCCTCAAATAGCTCCGGTGTATCTAGCATGTCCGCCGTCTTAATAGATAGAAGCCACGTCATATCGTCAAACCAGTGTTCATACTTTGCACAAACATTGTAGAACTCATTCATCCTGCAAACAGCACCACTACGCATTAGCGTAACCAAATATTAGTGAATGTAAATAACAACAATAGAAGCAACACAAAACCTGAGCAACATTGCAACAACAATGTACACATCAAAGAGCAACACAGCACGAACCTGGTGAACTTCGGAGATCCACCCGAGAAAAAAAAAAGCAATTATCTCTTTCGTCGAGCCTTGAGAGTGTTTTGAATCAGATTTGTTGGCGAAGTACGACAGCTTGATTCTCTTGCTCGTTTCTTCCTCTACAACTGCCTTCTACTTTGTCACCAAGTGGTCGGGGACGACAAAGTTGTTATCGAACTCTTCACTGTGTACGTAGGAGCGTCTGCTGCGTGTTGCTCGGGCTTCCATAGAGTCATCGGTCATGATAACAGGGTAGTTCGTCAGTACTTCCCTAACGTGTTCCACGTCGCTAGTGTTGTAGACCAACTCTAAAACCCGTGTGAGAACAGGTACCTTCTTGTCTGGTAGTTTAATTGCCGCTAAGGTTCGTGTTTTCTTTCCACTTGCATACGTGCTTGTTCTAATTTCTTGCGCTGCTTCTGTCGAGGTTTGGCTTTGGGGAGCTGTAGAACATTATTTTTTTTGTCATTCTTTGGCTTCACGACAGGGTTTGTCAAAAGATTCTTTGCTTTACGACAGGCTTTGACAAAGATCCTTTTCTTCACGACGGCCATTGTCGCAAAGTTCTTTGGTTTAGGCGGTGCCGAGTCCGTCTCGATTTGTTCCGATTTGGCTCCCCAGTCTGCGTGTTTAGATAGTAGGACAGGAGGTCTTGCCACTTGAATGTGCATTCAATTTCACATCAGGACTATGTTGCTGGTTGAGTTGAGCTTCTGCTTCAGAAACAGATCCGTCGTGCGCGTGTTGTTCCATTCCTCGGATCATCCTCGTTGTGTCAATTAGGTCTGCCGGCTCAATCTCAGAGACAGTATCACTGTCTAAGCCACCTTTGACATCATCACCAGACCCTGAGTCTTAATCAGGTGCCGTCGTAGCATCCAACGAGTATACCCCTGACTGTGCCAACCGGTCCGAATAATTTCTCTCCCCGACTGTAATGCTGCGTAGAACGCTGGGCTAGACAACCCGCGAGATAGTCATCAACGGGTTCAAATGATGCTTTCGCGTAGCAATACTTCTCTTCAGATGACAACACCACCATATTTGCACGATCAAGACGTCTCATTTCCACGTAAGCCACATGCAGTGTACGTCGACGAGGTCGGACGGCTTTTGTACTCACTTCATGCAATGTTGATGCCGACGGTGACCTCAATATTGTACGTTGTGTTGAATACCATGTGTTACTTCGGACGGCTGTGTTGTTTCAGGCAATTTGTAAGATTCTGAAGGTTGCGTTAGGCCGTCGCGTGTGAATGCCTCGCTTGCAATTCGCATCGTATCTTGAACGGCCTGGAGCATTGCGCACCTTTCTATAAAGTCTTGGATCATGTTGGACATGTCCATCATATCCCAACGTCGGGGAATGTTCGATCATGGAAGACTTTCGAGCGATGCACTTTTCCAGCAATATACACCAAATGCTGACAGGGAAGGTTGTAGCTGCAATAAAACAAACATGAACACGACTACTGAAAGTCGTTGCATTGATGCGTGTAATAACTTGTTTTCCGTTCCCATTCACTCATTTCGGACCCACGTTTCAAACAGGTTGTACGAGGCAAAGCAATCATGTCATAATCCCATTGCGATCGAACTTTACCAAGCATCGAGTCGCTCAAACGAGGGGCCACAAGCGATAGATTTCGGGAACGACGTCGGGGTGTCGCGATTTTGCTGAATTTGTGTGCATTGCTGTGACGAATTTCTGGTAATTGTGGCTTGATGAGCTAAAACCCCATCAATTGTTGCGTCAAGCCGGGGACATTTCCCA